TGTGTGTGTATGTGTGTATGTGTGTGTATGTGTATGTATGTGTGTGTGTGTTTGTATGTGTGTGTGTATGTATGTGTGTGTGTGTATGTGTGTGTATGTGTATGTGCAGCCTACCTTGTCTCTCACATTTTGTAACTGTAGAAATTCAATTTCTTAATTTTGAAAAATATACATACCATGGTTACCTAAAATTCTAAGAGAAGCCGACGAGTATATATAAATTCTGTTCTACCTTTGGGAAGCTTCTCACTGTTTTCTTTGGGGCACAGGTATGCGTATGTGTGTGTGTGTGTATGTATGTGTGTGTGTGTGTATGTATGTGTGTGTGTGTATGTGTGTGTATGTGTGTGTGTATGTGTGTATGTGTGTGTGTGTATGTATGTGTGTGTGTGTATGTATGTGTGTGTGTATGTGTGTGTGCATGTGTATGTGTGTGTGCATGTGTGTGTGTGTATGTGTGTGTGTGCGTGTGTGCATGTGTGTGTGTATGCTATGTGGATGCCCTTGGAGACCAGAAGAGGATGTCAGCTCCTTTGGAGCTGGAGCTACAGGCAGTTGTGAACTACCAGACATGGGTGCTGGGAACTGAAACTGGGTCCTCTGCAAGAGCTGCAAGTGCCCTTAACCACTGAGCATCTCTTCAGCTCCAAATTCACATAGTTCTTAAAATAAAACTAAGATTTATTTGAGGTTGATGATCAATATCAAATAAGAATATTACAAAGAGTAATATTCAGGACTAGAACTAAGCTATAGGTGGTTCTTACCACATTTACCTACCATAACCATAAGAGGATCTTATGATCCTTTTATAAATCTTATTTTTCTAAGATTTTACTTTTATTTATTTATTTTTATATTTTATTTTTACACTTTGAGATAGGGTCTCTCTATAGCCCCAGCTGGCCTCTATTTCACAGAGATCCACACCTGCCTCTGCCTTCTGACTGATAAGACACCATGCAAGGTCATTAATTAATTCATTAATTAATTAATTATTTTTTGGTCTTTTTGAGACAGGGTCTCCCTATTGCCCAAGCTAGCCTGGTACTTGCTATGTAGACCAGGTTGACCTTGCTCTCACAGAGGTCCATCTGTCTCTGCCTCCCAAGTGCTGGAATTAAAGGTGTGAGCCAACACATTTGGCTATTTATTGTGTGTGTGTGTGTGCGTGCGTGTGTGTGTATGTGTGTGCACGTGTATGTGTGTATACTCATGCATACATGCGAGTGTTGGTGTCTGCAGAGACCAGAAGAGGGAGTCAGGTCCTCTGGAGCTGTGAGTCACCTGATCTGAGTGTTGGGAACCGAACTCTGGTCCTCTGGAAGAGCAGGAAGTGCTCTTAACCACTGAACCATCTCTCCAACCCTTTTTGAGTCTTAAACTAAAACAAGGGGAATCTATGCTAGGAAGTAGGAAGACAAAGGTAGTTTGTGGGATCATGAAAACTCATTCCAAAGCTATTAAAAAAAACAAACCCTCAAACCACAGAAGAACTCCAGCAAGGCCATCGTTAATGGTTGTACGAGTTTGCAGCAGTCTATACCATTACTCAAAGCAATTCTCTCCCCACTCCAACCCGTCTCCATTTGTAAGCTGGTACAAAAGCTTTGTGCAGATCTCAGTATCCTTTGCTTTCCTGGGAGCTAAGTGCATCCTTTAGGAACTTGACTCACCTTCCTGTTTCTCAGCTGTGAGGGACAATGGTCTACCAATTTACAACTTCAACTCTACTTTTTTTCGCCCTTAACCCTTTTGCATAAATATATTCTTAATAATTAGTTCCTTAAAATTCCTTGGGTTACTCCCAAACTTCAAAAAGACTGATTGAATTCATCCCTCTTCTTTACCTCTTTTACAGATTCTCCTTTGCCTAACCCATCTTGGAGCCTGTAACCAGGCCAGGTCCTTTTCATAGGATTGTCCTGCTTTGATGATAGTTCTTTATGGCTTGTCCTTTTCTGGATGGCTTGTTTTCTATTCTCAACTCTGACTTATGTCTGCCTTCATGGAGTCAGACTATATGATAGATTTACTGATTTAAGAGGTAATGACTGGGGACTAGAGAGATGGCTCAGTGGTTAAGAGCACTGACTGCTCTTGCAGAGGACCCAGGTTTGATTCCCAGTACCCACATGGCAGCTAAGAACCATCCTTAATTCCAGTTCCAGGGGAATCTGACACCCTCTTCTGACCTCCGAAGCACTGCACAACACGGGTGCACTCACGTACATGCAGACAATACACTCATACATGCACAAAAAGATAAAATATTTTTTAAAAAAAGAGTCAATGACTGGGCTGGCTGCATGCCTTTAATCTCAGCACTTGGGAGGCAGAGGCAAGCAAATCTCTGCGTGTGTTCAAGGCCACCTGGTCTACTTAGTGAGTTCCAGGACAGCTGGGCCTACAGGGAGACCCTGTCTCAAAAAAGACACACAAAACGAGGCAATGATTAGCATAGAAAGATAATTATTAAAGCCACTTCCAGAAGCCATAAGATTATTAAATGAAAATCCCGGTGCCAAGGGCAGGTTACCGTCTTATGAGCTGCTGGCCAGGGAGGCCTCTGAGGTCCCCCAAAACAATATAGGCTATTGCCTTTGCTGTTGGTTGCCTACTAGAACTAGATGGAAAGACTCTATTGCTGAAGACAACATAATAGGCTATTGCCTTTGCTGTTGGTTGCCTACTAGAACTAGATGGAAAGACTATTGCTGAAGACAACATATGCTTTGGTTGCAGGGCATAGAGAAATCAAGCTGGGACTGAGCTGGAAGCTTCCTTCTGCTGGATAGCTTTCATAGTGCCTGGAGGTATACTATGCAGCCTGCTAGGTGAGGCTTGTCATGAACAGTCTTACTTAGGTGTGGACCCTGCATGCAACACTAATGACCTGCCAGGCAAAATGTATGCACTGGTGCAACAGTGGCAAGACTGTAATGGGGGTAACCAGTCACTTTCTGATTGGATTTGATTCCAGTCCACAGGCGAGAATTCATGTCTCTACTGTAAACCTGGTCAAAAGCCTGTGACTTGGGAGGTCATAGGTCTAAGCAGGGAAGCTACTACTGTTGTTCTGAGAAATGGACATGATGTACCTGTCAAACTGTCTTCTAAATATTCGTTTATGGCCATAGAGTAGCACTGCTGTCAGTTTTTGTCAGAGAGGCTTCTTTTTGCAGTGGGCCGTACTCATAACTTAGACCATCTAAGTGCTGAGAATAAGTGTCTGTTAAAAGCTCAGCCATAAATGGGCCATCTACATTACCTTCTCCAGGGTTCAGGGAACACAGTAGATAAGGGGGGAGAAAAATGTTAAGAACTAGAGGAAGGACTGGAGTGTTGTGGAATGCTGTCTTCCAGGCATGACATGGCCATGGTCCTCTTAAACTCCCAGCAGCTGTGACTGCCTGCACCAGACCTGCACCAGGTTGGACCCAGCAACATTTTACCATGGGGAGGGGAGGGGCTCATGAGGCCCTGATACTCCTTGAGGAGCTATAGGCAGTTAATGGTTGCTGAACTAGGGAGAAACATTTCTTAGTCGTGGAGCCACTGGTAAGTTGCCCATGTTCCTATAAATAACCTCTTATCCATGCTCCTACAAATAATCCTAATTAAACTCATTGATTCACACACACACACACAATGACAGCCAAGGAGGAGTGAGTTATTGCCAATAGAGTCCATAACAGAGCAAACGAAATGTCTCGTGCCCCATGCTGGGAGGAGTTCATTCACTGTGGTATTCCCATTAAATGGAATATATAAATGGTGTTATATAACCACCAAAAGAATACTGAAATATAGAAGAAAATACTACAATGTTAATTGAAAGAAGCAAAGGAGAAAATAATGCTGTACATATTCTCGATATTTTTAGTGCACATTCAAGACAAATGTTGGGTTTACTAACTGTTGGGCAATGTATAGTGATAGTTCACATAAATAAATGTGCTACATATTCTCTCTGTGAATAAACTGGCTACGTGGTGCATTATTATTATTAACTTTGTTGTTGTTGTTTTGAGACAAGGTCTCCCTGTAGCCCCAGATGGCCTGGAACTCTATGTAGACCAGGCTGAATCTCACAGAGATCCATCTGCCTGTGGCTTCTGAGTGCTGGGATCAAAGGCATGTGCCTCCATGCCTGGTTGAGTCAATTACTTTTAAAAAAAAGAAGCAGAAGAACAGCTATTATTATTATTAACTTTGTTGTTGTTGTTTTGAGACAAGGTCTCCCTGTAGCCCCAGATGGCCTGGAACTCTATGTAGACCAGGCTGAATCTCACAGAGATCCATCTGCCTGTGGCTTCTGAGTGCTGGGATCAAAGGCATGTGCCTCCATGCCTGGTTGAGTCAATTACTTTTAAAAAAAAGAAGCAGAAGAACAGCTGGGTATGGTGGTACACACCTAAAATTGTGGCACTTGGGAGGCTGAGGGAGGAGGAGACTAGCCTAGACTACAGAGTACGACCTTGTCTCAAAGAAACAAAACTCAAACAACAAATACCACCTGCCTGCTGCCCTAAAACCACAATAAAAAAGATAAGGCCCATGGGTTCTGGAACAGGCCGAGGTCTGACTGGTGGTAAGGAGGGGTTGTGAGCAGAAAGGTGCCTGCAGGAATTTGGAGGTGAAGGGTTCGTTTCAGTCTGTATCTTGATTGTGATGATGGCTGTACAACTGCATGTTTTGGGCAAAACTCATAGGATTGTACTTCAAGAAGTGCAAATTTTGCTGCATATCATTTCTACTTCAATTTAGCAAAAAGCAAAAAGCAAAAACCGATCTTCAGGCAAATCCAAATTAAGGGACATTTCCAGCCATGCCTGTAACCCCAGCACTTACGAGGCTGAAGCAGCCCTTGGAGTTGCAGCAATCCTCCTGGCTCAGCCTCCTAAGTGCTAAGAGCACTTTGCAGGCGTGGGCCGCCATACCTGGCTGCAATTTTTCTCAAGCTCAACTATTTCAAAATTTAAAATGAAATTAAACCAACACATCATAGCAACTCATCTTCAATTCAGTGAGACTGTGTCAAGGGAGAAGGTAGGCCTTCTTCAGGTCACAGGAGAAAATGCCAGGAAGGGGAAGCCCATGGAGTTTAGTGTGAGGGTTGCAGATACCAATCAAGTGGAAATGGACAGAACCCAAGGTCACAGGTCAGAGCAGAGCCTAGTCAGCCCTTGCAGCTTAGAGCAGTTGGAACTCACTGGTAGGACCCACCTGTTGACTTTTGCAGGAGAGAGAGCTAAGGTTCAGAGACTGTGGGATACAGCCACAGTCACCTGGGAGACTCAGAGCAGTATCAAACCAGAGTGCTTGCTACCATCTGGGGTCTGACCCAGGCAGCCTAGCCTGATCCCCACTCACCATCAGTGTTTTCCAGCACTGTGCTATGCTTCACAAAGGCTACGTCACCTGCTCCTTCTGCTACACACCTGTATAAGAGAAGCCATGAGCATTTGTGGGGCCTGAGCTCTGGCCCCTCAATTATACCTGTCTTCCACTTTGAAGTTTGGCCAGGGCTGTAGGGAGTTGTGACCATATTTCACAGTCTTGCCATTCTAGGGTCCTGCCCCCATCTTGTTCACTGTGTGATTTTGCCAAGCTGTGAACCCTTTCTAGCTTCATCGTGTGTTGAGTCGGCTTGAGGAGGTAGCTCTCCAGGTGACAGCGAGGCAGCTCTGAGGATGAGCAGTCCCCTCACAGTCAGTGCAGTCCTGTGCTGCCTTCCTTCACTGGCCATCTGCAGCCCAGACACCCAAAGTATCTTGAAGATACCTGGGATTGGCCTAGAAGGCCTTTCACACTATACCAAAATATCCTGAGTGCTAAGGATGATGACTTTCATGTATTCTCTATGTCACTGCCCAATGTGACAAGGTCAAGGCCTGCTGGGCAAAGGAGTTGTTTGGGTCCCCACAGCCAGAAAATAAGCAGGCTGGACCGGGGCTGGAGTGCACCGGGAGAGCCCTGGGGCCTTTGAGGGAGTAAAGGCCAAGGGAAGGTGGCCAAGGACATGCAGAGGAGGCAAGGACTCTTTCTTCCCTCTGTGGTGAAAACTGTTGCCCCTGGCCACCCATGGGAGCATGGGGCAACGATAGGCCCCCTCCCCCATGGGGCAGCCACAGGGACCAGGAGCTCCCATAAGCAGACATGGAATTGGACATGAGCCCTTAGACTTTCCCTTGGGTCACAGAGGGTTGATCTAAAGTCAGGACCAGCACAGAGAAAGGCCAGCTCAGATGTCCAGTCACACTCCTCCACCCACCGTACTGGCCACTATGCTGGTCAGACATCAGAAGAGGGACCTGGGAGTATTCCACAAAGCTCCTTTTTTCCATTTTCTTCTCTAAGAGTCCTCCCTTTCCCCCAAAACACCAACTATGTTGACTTTGTGAGCAAATCCAGCCTGGCATCTTCCGGTTTCATGTTTATAAACTAACTGGGGCACAGCTCTGCATAAAGGCTACTTTGATGCACTGCAGCCCACACGGACGCTTCCCTGCATGAGTGAAGTGTTCTCTTCCCATACCCGTAACCTCCTCCCACCACACCCTGCCCCAGTCCTCTCACCGGAAGGCCCCACTGTAGTCGTAGTATCTCTCCAGGGGGCTCTTGTCACACACACCTTGTCCAGAGGTGTCACCTCGGCAGAGGTGACAGAGGGATTGGGAGTAACTGGTTTCTCCTGCGCCAGGGACGCAGCTGCCCCCAAAATAGTCACTGACAGCTGTGGGAAGGGGCAGAAAGAGGTCACTGAGCACATACCCCTCAGACCCCACCCTGGGGAGTCAGGAGGGCATCGGTGCGGTCCCTATGCTTCTGAGAATGCCACCTTTCAGCTTCAAGTGAAGAAACAGAGGACCTGGATCACACCAGTGATTCTCAGACTGGGCCCTGGGAGTGGCAGTGTATACCTGGGTGTGGCTGCTGCTATTTAGAAGTGGCTCAGGGGAGTGTGACGTTCTCTCAAAATGTCCATAAAGGACAAGTGAATACCAACTGGATTCTGTTCTCACTGTAGGGTTCATTTTCAAATCAATAATGGGCAGTTAATAAAGTTTACCAATGAGACAGGTGGTACTTCTGAAATTGTTGGAGGGATGGGAGAAGAGTTTTGGGTGTTAAAGTGCCCTATTTGCTGCACAGTTTTTTTTTTTGATGCCCCACCAATAATGAAGCCTCAGGCACACCCCTTTCACAAATGTTCATCCACATGACTTGTAGACCACTCAAGAGGCTGTGGCCCCTGGCTCTCCTGGGCTGTGCTGGTTACAGTGTTGGCTAGGCCCCCTGGCTCTCCTGGGCTGTGCTGGTTACAGTGTTGGCTAGGCCCCCTGGCTCTCCTGGGTTGTGCTGGTTACAGTGTTGTTTAGGCAGCTTGTCTGGATCCTGACCGAGTCATTTCTAATCCTGTAAAGGTCAGGATATGTCTAGACAGAGACCACCCTCACATTCTCTGCTTCACACTGGAGTTGCGCCCCATGGCTGGTTGTGTTACATGGGACATGGTAATGAGCAAGCAAGAATTGTGCTCCACAGTGGCCAACCAGTCAGAAACTCTGATGGAGGACACTGGGGCTACACAGTACAGTGAAAGGAGTGACTGCACGGGGCCACATGTGGGGAAGAACCCCATAGAATGTGGGACTTTGCTGATGGGATGAAGATGAGGCCCAAGGGGCTCCCCTAAGGGAAGGGAAAGCCTAAGTAGAGGATAGGAAAGCTGTGTGTTGGGCCTGAAGCCCTCACCTTTGAGCACGTCGCAGCCCATCACTGAGAGGCGTCCGCTTTCTACCAGGTAACCCACAGGCACATTCCAGCCAACTGTCCGGTTGATGCCCGTGTGACAGGACTTCATACCCTTCATGGTGTTGATGGTCACATTGGAATTCCTCTTGACCACAGCCACAGCGTAATAGGAGGTCCCAACCTCTAGAAGGGGAGGGGAAGAGTGAGCACAGCAAGGGAGATGGTGGGAGGGAGGCTGCAGTACCTGCTGGGACGGCAGGTGTGCTAGGCACACACGTGTATGCGTGCATGAGCACAAGGACGTGTGTGTGTGTGTGTGTGTGTGTGTGTGTGTGTGTGTGGTTTTCTGTCAGTGAGAGGGTAGAAGGGTGAGATCACATCTTACCAGATGACCTAGCCTTCCCTTAGCCTCATGAAGTAACACTATCAGAGAGTAATTCATTCAAGTGTTTCCCCACTTTCCTTCCCAAGCCAGCTGGCCACAGCTGGGCCTCGCACAAATTAGGGGAGGTTTGGCTTTCCAAACGCTGAAGCCCTTAGGAGAACTTGGAGGTTTAAAGGAAGGGCCACATGGCTGTAAAGAGAAGATGGCTAAGGAAGCAGGGCAGAGAACTAGGAACTTAGGAAGAGCCATGTCAGGATGCTGAGGGATTGAGGGTAAGAGAGGCAGAACAAGCTAGTGATGGTGCCCTGAGTCATTCATGACCCCGAATGGCTCAGGTTGGTAGGGCTCCGAAGCCTTGAGAAAGACTTCTCTGGGCCTAGTGTGGCCCTGAAGGGGTCATTAAGAAAAGACACAGATAACTTGTCTACAGGGACAGGGACTGAAGGCCAGAGATAAGACAGTCTCCCTGGTCATTTTCATTCTCTCCCCTCAACCCAACATAGTGTGTGGTGGTGGGATGTCCATGATTAGAACACGATCAAGTTATAGAAGATAAAACCAGTGCCCTAAGCAGCTGCTTCCAGACACCCAGTGCCACCTCTCTCATGAGTTTCTGGAGTCATCAAAACCTCTCCCACCTGGGACCACTGCTGGGGTCCCTCCCCATGCCTGCTCTTGTTTGAGGGCCTCCCCCATCTCTTTCAATTGGCTTCTTCTTTTCTTCATGTGAATCTGGTGAGGAACTGGGGTTTGGGGTGCGTGCTGACTATCTGACTCCTACTGTTGAGTCAGGGCTTTTTCTGACTACTCAACCAGTGTCCAAGACACATAGGGACTCAATTGGAGGTTGGATTACTTAGGGGAGAAGCTGTGCTGAGGGCCCAAGAGCTAGGGCTGTTTGAAGAAAAGGCTGTCTTCTCTACAGTGCTGGACTATGTCCTAGTCATGAGACTGTCAACACCTCAGCTAGTAGCCAGTTGGGGCTTTATCTGCAGAGGACCAGAGGCTGCAAAAAAAAATTAGGATGAGGTCCTGCTCAGGGGCTGGCAAGGTGGAGGGGGAGGGCCTTGGCTAAGGCACTTGGGGGTGAATCAAGGATTCTGCCACACAGGACAGAGGTCCTTTGAAAGGATAGGAGGTCCCAGGAGCCCATGGGAGGATGTGACAGTCACACTGACTGACAGCAGAGGCTGGGCATTAGACAGGTTGTGGGGGACACAGAGAGCAAGTCCAGCTAGATATGTCTGCTGTGAGGTGAGCATGAGGCCAGGAGCTTGCCCAGCTGTGCCACGTTCCTGGGTCTGCTGGCCTCTGCAGACTTCACCCCTCCTGTCCCCAGCCCCATTCCCCCCATGCTGCCTCTGACAGGGGTGCTGAAATGTGCAAGTATCCAAACAACTTGGTCACCAGGAACCTCCACATGGGGCTCCACCTAGCTCTGCCGCAGGGCTGCTCCTCAGTATGGGTCTAGTGGGTAAAAATCGGGGTCGGGGGGCTCCTAGCTGCCCAGGGAGGAGAGCAGACTCAGTCAGACTGCTGTGTCCCTCACTTTCCCACCTGAGAGTTTCAAGAGAGACCTAGGGAGTTCTCAGAGGGACTGTCTGCGTGGGACTCTAGGAATATTCTGTGACAGAGCTGGTGACCAACTTGGGGCTGCAGGGCATCAGGCCAGACTGGCCGGCTGACTTCTTGCCCTTTCCCTACACCCTGCCCCTTACCTTGATCATATACTTCACCCACCACTGGCTTCAGGCCGTGTTCCTTCCCTGCCTCATAAATGGCTCCTCCATCCAAGGTGATGGTATCAGCTTCTCTGTCCTGGTAAGACACTGGGGGTCAGCCTGACTATAGGTCCACTGAGCCAGGAACTTAGTGACATTCACAGGCAGCTCCAGACCCTTCAAGAAGCACTGGGTCTACACTGTCCTCTTCCTCTGGTCCAGGAGACCTATCTTAGCCCTGTCCTAAGGGCCCAGGGCTCCACCCTTTCTCAGGCCAAGAACTCACCTAACTTTACCAAATAGCTATTTAACAATATTGTTTTAAATATTTTTGTGCATAGTGCCTGAGGAAGCCAGAAGAAGGCGTTGGATCTCCTGGAACTGGACTTACAGACTGTTGTGAGCCACCATGTGGGTGCTGGGAACTGAACCCGGGTCCCCTGCAAGGGCAGCCAGTACTCTCTTAACTGTTGAGGCATCTCTCCAGCCCCCAAAATATTATTAACTTGGGGGCTAGAGAGATTGACTTCTGGCCCCTCACGCACCAGGCACGCATATGATGCACATACGTACATGCAGGCAAAATACACATACACATAAAAATATAAATAAGTCTGTTAAGATATTAACTTACAGGATCAAATGGATGCGCACAGTGAAAGATCAAATAGTACAACGTAAAGTTGTAGCAAAAAGCATCTGCTCACGGTGCTGTTCCTTGGTCTCTGGCTGCAGTTCCTAAGCAGCATTTCCTTCCGAGCTAGTTCCTGCAGACCGAAGCCCATGCACACCCTCTTAAACGTCCCCCTTTTTCTTCTTTTAAAAAATTTATTTATTTTAGCCTTGTGTATGAATGTTTTTGCCTGCATGCATATATGTGCACCACATGTATGCCTGGTGCCCTCTGATGAAGTAGTGCACTGTCATAGTGTCACAGGGTCCATGAGTGGAACTGCCATTCAGGGTAACTGGTTTCTGCCCTCAAAGGGAAGCTGGACCCCAAGGCCTGGCCCCTTGGGGTCTGGTTGATTAGGTTTCATGAGCCTCCCAGGGCTGAGCTACAATGAAAAGCCAGCGTCTATCCTGTAGTGTCTACCTTCCTCATTCCGCCTTGCCTCTGAAGATGGTCGGTACCCATTTAAAGGGTACCACCGGCCCAACTTGCCTTCCCATCTTCCACTCATCCACCCAGGACCCTGAAATGGGGGTTCCTTCCCTAGGAATCATACTAGCCTCATTCTGGAAAGCTTCATGGCAGTGAGTGACCTTGGGCTACAAGGTCAGGATGGTGTCCCCACCCTAACAGGGCTCCTTTGCAAAGGAAACCCTGCCTCTCAGATCCTTCTGCCCTCTGGTACCCATCTAGAATGTGGTTCTCCCACGCCTCCCACCTCACAGGAAACAGACTGGCCCTTGTTGCCAGGAAACTCAGGAGATCCTATCACCCAGTCCTGGCAGAGGGACACCAGTCACTTTCTCAGTGAATGAGGCTGTTGTGCACTCTTCCTGAGTCAGAGCTCTCTTGTCTGGGCCAGCCAAAGGGGAGAGATCTCACCGAGATGAGCTGGACACAGTGGTCAGTGGAGGTTCCCTGGATGCAGAGGATGGAGGGCTGGATCCTGGCTTCCTGGAAGGCCTTGCTCATGTCACTGCATTTCTGCTGCTCTGGGTCTGAGATGGTGCACCACCGCACTTCCATCTCACCAAGCGCTAAGGGACAGGATAGTTGATAATCAGTTTTTCCACCTACCCAACCCATGGTCCCCAAGTGAGGGTGGCTCCAACATCCGTACATGACCCCGTCCGCCTATCAGCCTGCATGGCCAGTCCCCTGCCACAACGTTGCACTCCCATGGAGAGGCAGTGGACAGAGACAGGGCAAAGCTGTGCTCCAGCCTTTCTGTCCAGGGTTGCTGCAGTTGGGTGGCTGGGAACCCAGCCCATCACAGAGGTGTGGAAAGGCCCTGGGGTGGGGCTCAGCCTGGGGAGGAAGGAGCAATCTACCCTAGTCTGAACAGGCTCTGTGACTGAGAAACTTCTGCCCCCTCCTGATCTCCAAAAAGAGGTGCTGGCCCAGGGTTCCACCTCAGTCTTGTCCTTTGGCCTCCCTTGAGAACTGGAACATGTTACTGAGGGGTGGTTGAGGGTGCCCTCTACAGTGAGGATAGCACCAGGCCCCTGCTAAGGGAAGATGGTATACCCAAGGGAGGCTGAGGAATGAGTAGGTTGGGTTCAAGTTCCTACTCCTGTATCTGGGGACTTGAGGTGACAAATTAGGCCTCTCTGGCCCTGTTCTGTTTTGATGAAGCAGATGAGAACTCATCTTCATTGTTGGAAGTCATCCTAGTACAGAGCCTAACACACAGGTCCTTGGTAGGCACGCTTGAGCAGAGTTCCTCTTGGCCCCCCAGGCACTACCAGGATTCCCTTGGAGGCTCGTGCTCCAGGGGGACACCTGGAAACTAACTTTGGGGCCGGACTGTCCCTGGGGGACAGGTCGTCTCGCCTGGCAGCCTTCACTCCATCTTCCCCAAGGGTCAAACTGCAGCCTCTGTCCGGAACACCGCCTCCGGACCCCCAACCCGCTGAAACCCACTATCCTCCACCTCGGGCTCTGAGTCTCCCACCAAAGGTCTGGCAACTGCAGAGTCTGGAGCCCGGGCCAGCCCTTCCTGAGAGTTTGCACCATGTCCCATGGCCCTGGGTCCCAACTTCCTGAGGTGGAGGAGACCCAGCCTTGCTCCCGAGGCTCCGGGGAACTCGGCTGTGGCCTCAGCGGTGTTCTGTGCCCGCCGCCTCTTCTCCATCCTCTCTCACCCGGGCTCGGGAGGAAGAGCTGCTGCGTCCCTAACCCTCTCCCACCTTTCGCGGACCTCCTTATCCTTAGTTCGCGCTGGCCTAGAGGGCGGCGATTTTCAAGGCCGCCTCCTCTAGGAAGCCCTCGGGACGTCGGGTCCCGGTCAGCGCTAGCTCCTGTACCGGCCCAGCTTCGCACCTCTCCTCTCCGGGCCCCCCTCCCTCAGGGCAGCGGAGCGCCAGGACCCCCGCGGGCCTCACCGGTGCGCAGGGACAGGAGCAGCCACAGAATCCTGCTCGAGTCCCGCATGGCGGCGTCGGACCGGACTGGATCAGGCGCGGGCTCGCTCCTTCGGCCTCGGGCACCCGCCCTTCGCTCTTAAGCCGGAGGTGGAGTGGGAGCACGCCCCTGGGCGCACCCCGCCCCCGCCCTGGACACCTGGGCCGGCCGCGGCCTTGGCTTTGGCGGTGGCCTTCGCTCTGGAGCCCCCTGCTGGAGCCTCCGCCCGCCCAAGGCCCCCAGACCTGGCTCAGCTTCTCTGTCCTCAGTCTTTCCCTCTCATCTACGAACCACCCTCGTCTTTTGTGCTAGAAAGATCCCAATACCATATCCTCGCGGAGAGGGGCAAGTTCAGATTTGGAAGGAAAAGAGGTGGGAGGCCAGAGTTGAGCTGGAGGGAAGGGGAAGGTCTTCCAATTCACTGCCCACCCCCCTTCGCACACGAGGCAACAGGATGTAGAGACGCAGGGCTGCAGAGTACCGCTGATTAGGGAGACGCTGGAGGCGGGGGTCGCCGGAGTCCGGGCAGCCGATTCTGTTAGGGCCTAGACAGGGGAAGGGGCTTGCCTCCTGCTCCACCTGTAAGTGGCAGAGCTGGCTCATTCCATCGTGCTGTGAAGGATGGGCAGGCAACCTAAGGAGGGGGGAGTGGAGGGGGAAGAAGGTGGGAGAGATGAAGAGGAGGACGAGGGGGGAAGGAGGGGGAGGAGAAGAGGAAGAAGGGGAAGAGCGGGAGGAGAGGACGAAGAAGAGGGAAAGGAGGAGGGGGAAGGAAGAGGAAGAGGAGGAAGAGGCGAAAAAGGAGGAGGATGGGAAAGGGGAGGAGGGGTAGGAGGGAGAAGGAGAGGAAGGGGGAAGAAGAGGAGAAAAGCGAGCAGGGGGAGGAGGTAGAGGAGGCAGAAAAGTATAGAGGTGCCTGATTTTCCTGGCCAGTGGTCCCAGAACAGCTATTTTAGGGTCACCTGGGAACCTGCTGGGATTCTTAGGCCTCCTTCTGACCCACTGAGTCAACAGCTCTGGGGATGAGGTCATCAATCTGGGTTTTTTACTCTGCTACACAGTAAAGTTTGGGAACCACTGCTCCAGGAAGACCAGTGCTGCAGTTCCCGAGTTTGTTGGGGATGTGGAAAAGGGACTGCAGAAATTCTGAGTTGTGATTTCACTTAAATCTTTCTTCCTGTCCCTCACCCCCACCCGATGAACACGCAAGGAAATCCTCTTGCCCTGACATTGGAAGAGGTACTAAGAAACGAAGTGGGGGAAGGGAGTGTGGAGACAGACCACCAGTGGTTTTCCGTGGCTTTCTGGTCATCACTCTGTGGAGCTTGTGCAAGCGCTCTTCCCCGTCCTGGGCTTTCCGTTTCCCCATGTGTAAAACGATCTCGATAGTCGATGCCATTCCTTCCTTTGCAGTCTGCTCTGAGATCCTGAGGGAACATGCATGGAGCAGGCTGCTTCTCCATCTCCAGCTGGATCCAGTGGCAGGAGGGGCATCTCTTTCTAACCTGCACAGAGGCGCCACATGGACTACCAGAGCCCTGCAGGAGGGGCTGCCCAAGAGGGTAGAGTTAACAAAGTGTGCATAGCAAGCTGCCTCCTCCCACCATGATGAGAAGGTTCCTTCTGGCACACTTCAGGAGCAACCATGAGAGCTACTGGCAGGGTCTAATCTAACTTCTTTATTTCCTCTCCTTTTGCTCCTTGTTTTTCCTTCTTCACTCCAAGTGATGCTGACATGGAGTCCGGAAAGCCACAACCTTAGGGCATGGGTGAACCCTATCTCTAGGGGTGGGTCTTCACATGTGACTGCCTGTGAGCTTGCTGTTAGCATTGCAGAGGCTCCTCCACCAGACTGCTCGTCTGGCCTTGGCTTTGTGTTTTGACACGTTTGCCGTAGGAACTTGGTCTCTGCTTCAGCCTGGGTTCTGTCCCTGGTGGGGTGCATATAGGTGGGTGTGTCCAAGGAATGAATGAGATGCAACTAGGAAAGAGGAACGTGGCCATTTGACCAGGCACAGCTGTGTGGAGAAGCAGCAGCTGTGCATTTAGACATCATATGGAGCTTAAGGGGAGAGTGGAAAGGCTAAAGGAACCGGCTCCACCGACACTCCAGTAAGGGCAAGTCTGTTTTGTGACTCCCTGACCGCATAACATGAAATCCCAAGCGCTTCCCTCCTCCATTCTACCAAAGATGCAGCATTGGTTCTCAAAGATTCAGGCTGCTCACAGCATGGCACATGCTCCTTAGGGAGTCAGGATTCAGAATCTCTCTTGCTCCCCTCCCCCCAAGTGTGAGTGTGAGTGTGTGTGTGTGTGTGTGTGTGTGTGTTTACACCATGGGATGGAATGCAATGAGGCAAGGAGCCTCTAGGGTTCAGGAAGAGGGCCCTTGACAGGAGGTTAAGAACCTGCTCTGCCTATGGGGACTGCTGAGAAATCAAAACATAACCAACATCTCCAGAATCCTAGTGAAGAGTTCATCCTTTAGCATTTCAGTAAGGGGCTGGAGAGATGGCTAGGAGGTTAAGAGCACTGGCTGCTCTTGCAGAGGACCTGGGTTTGATTCCCAGCACCCAGATGCTGGCTAACAACCATCTATAACTCACTTCCAGGGGTTCTGACATCCTCTTCTGGCCCTCGAGGGCATTCACGCACACGTTGCAGACAAAATACTTATATACATAAACTTTAAAAAAATGTAGCATTTCAATAGTGGGGCCATGTCTTTGACTAAGAACTGGCAATTATGATTCTGGGGGATGCTTGGTGTTCTGGCATTCCCAGAGAGAATGAGGAGTGGCGAGACTTTGCAGTAGCAAGTGTGGTCTGGGAAGAGACAGACAGCCTTCTTGCTCCAGGTACCATTATGGATTGACATTCCCTCACTGCTAAGTTCATCTGTTTTATGTTGAGAGTAACACAGCCAGGGTGAGAACATTTCACCATTATGGATTGACGTTCCCTCACTGCTAAGTTCATCTGTTTTATGTTGAGAGTAACACAGGCAGGGTGAGAACATTTTACAAACAAAAGCTTTTTTTTTTTTTTGAGACAGGGTCTCCCTATAGTCCCTGCTGGCCTGGACCTTGCTATGTAGACCAGGCTAGCCTCGATCTCACAGGGATCCTCCTGCTCTGCCACTTGAGTGCTGGGATTAAAGGTGTGAGTCACCATACCCAGCAGGCCTTTTTAAAAGTGTTTTTCGCATGAAGCTGGATTTAGGGGAAGCCTGTTGGGCTATGTGAAATTCTGTGGTTGAGAGAGAGTCTCATTCTGTAGGCCACACTGGCTTTGAGCTTTCTGCCATTCTTCTGCCTCAGCTGCTGGGATTACAGATGTGAGCTGCCATATTGAATTTATTACAGATGCAAGCTTTTTTCAAGGCAAATTCTAATGCTGTCTTTATGTTCCCATGCAACCTGGAACATAGCCGTGTCTTAGCTTCTTTTCCTGCTATTGTGATAAAATATTTACAAGGGTTTGGCAAGATCCCCAAGACCCACATGGTAGAAGGAGAAAATTAACTCCCATAAGTTGTCCTCTGATGTCCACACATGAACTGTGACATATGTGCCCCCCTACATATGTATACACACAAAATAAATGAAAATATAATAAAAATATTCTGGCAAGCGGGGCATGGTGGTGCATGCCTTTAATCCCAGTACTTAGGAGGCAGAGGCAGGCGGATCTCTGTGAGTTCAAGGCCAGCCTGGTCTACATAGTGAGTTCCAGGACAGCTGGGGCTACAGGGAGACCCTGTCTCAAAAAGACAAAAAAAAAAAATTCTGGCAAGAGCAACTTAAAAGGGTTCATTGTAGCTCACAGTTCAAGGTTCCAATCCATCACTGCAGGGGCAGGAACTTGAGGCAGATGGTACACAGCATCTGCAGTAAACAGCAGGAAGCAAGGGATGCATGCATATGTTCACACCTTCTCTATTTAATACAGTCCAGGATCCCCCACCCAGGGAAATGGTGTCATCCTCAGTGGGTGGGGCATCTGCAGCAATTAACAATTAAGATAACCCTTCATAGACCTTCTTAGGGACCCATCTCCCAGGTGATTCAAGACAGTGTCAAATTGACAGTTAACATTAACTGTCACAGAGGGTACCTTTGAAGTGTAAACTGAGTTTTAGAACTCATGCTTTTAATGACTGTGGTTAGTAACTGATGCTGTAGAGGGGGGAAAAGAATGAGCTGAGCATGGGACTGGGGACAGGGCTGTTCCCAAGAGCTCTGCTGAGCAAAGGCATGGCAAGGGATGAAGTCTGATCAGGAAGGTGAGGATGGTGGCATCTTATGTGCCACAGTAGTTAACAACATGTGTGGAACATAGTAGGTGTTGACAGTCATTTAATAATGAATATTGAATCACTGTAAGTGAAGGGAAAAGTGGACAGTTATGTTTCAAGACATTTGATAAAGAAAGGGAGAGGGGGAGGGGTTGCTTTCAGGGGCATCAGGTCAAGTGTAAGCTTTAACCACACAGCCAGAGCACAAGTAGCATGTGGAAGAATAAAGAAAGAGGAAAAGGAGCAAGTGGAGCAGACTGGAGAGCTCAGGAGACAGGTGGGAAGGGGTTTCCAAAGGAAGCAGAGTGAGGAGAGGGATGGCACCCCAGCTCACGTCTACAATGACCCCGGCCCAGCGTGCTTCGTAGAAGCCAGTCCTAGTGAGGTTTTAGGTCTCAGTGGTGTTCCCTCAAGGGGGCTGCAGGACCCGTGTCTTCCTCTTTCATGTGGCCATGAAGGAAGTGGTGGGCTAAGACACAGGCTCCCGTCATGAAGTGCTGCACTCCCTACTCCCAGAGGCCTAAGTGATATGCCCATTTGATCTGGGACTGGAACTTCCAAAACTGTGGGCCCAAATACCTGTTTCTCCCTGTAAGTTATTTACCTGAGGGGTTTGTTATAGCAGTGGCAAGCTAACAGAGATGGGTAAGGGTCCAAGTGGATCAAGCTTACAATTAAGTCTCTAGGGCTGGCGATGGCTCAGTGGATAAAGCACCTGCCATACAACCCTGATGACCTGAGTTCGATCCCTAGAACCGTGTAAAGCTGGAAGGAGCAG